TGAGGGAGGAATGGGATACGAGCCCCCGATGGGGAGAACTGGGGTGGCTCTGAGGGCTCCTCGGGGTGGAAGCTCTCCTGCAGCCCCCAGATTGACCCCCCTCCCCGGATGGCAGCATGCGGCAAGTGCAGCCAGGCTGATGGCCGAGTGCTGTGATGTGCTGAGTGTGGGCACTCAGGGCACTCCAAGTCAGGACTGCTTTGCTGTCCCTCATCGAGTTAGACAAGTGAGCGGGGAACCCCTGAGAACTGTCTGTCCAGGGTGGGGGGTCGGGTCCCTTTAAGCACAGCCCTCGGCTAGCCTGAGACAGCATCTCCACGCTCTAAGTCCTAATCTGATGTCCTGCCGGCACTGCTTCCGGCCAGCCTTAACCTCGGTTCAGGGTCCACTCAGTGTGGACATGCTAGTTCGAATTAGCAAAACGCTAATTCGAACTAGTTTTTAGGTCTAGATGCACTAGTTCAAATTAGCTTACTTCGAATTAACTAATTCGAATTAAGTTAGTTCGAATTAGTGCTGTAGTGTAGACATACCCTAAGAGTTGTTCCCAGAGATTTTCTCTGTGTTTCAATTTATTTTACTGAGTTGCTCTGTAACACCTAGCAATCAAGTATATCTTTTGTTTTGTTAATAAAAATCACTTTTTTAAGGTGATGATTTCATTCTGGTTTCTTGGTGTGCCTGCCTAATATGAGCTACCAGAGACTACAGCTTGTTTCTTTTCTTCTTTCAAGCTCTTTTGGGGCAAAAGAGCTTGGGGCACCCCCTGGGGAAGGAAGTTCAGTGTTCCCTCTTGTTTTTTAGGGTGAAATCACTTGATGGTGGCAGCTTTGGGGTTTTTTTACTCAGAGCCAGTGCAACTGTGACTCTGGGGAGTATATTGAGGGCAAAGCCTATAGAGGTATTTAAGATCTTTGCAGGCCCTCACTTTGGTACTTGGAGTGCCAGAGTGGGGAACAGCCCTGACAACTGCGGACAAGGATCTGGGACTGAATACTAGTCATCAATATGCTGTAGCTGCAAAAAAAAAAAAACGGTTAGTATGATTCCAGGGTATATTAACAGGAGCATTGTATGGAAGACACAGAAGGTACATGTCCTGCTCTGCTTGGTTCTGGTGAGGCTCCAGCTTGAGCAGTGTGCAATTCTGAGCACCAGATTTCAGATGTGGGATAAATTGGAAAGAGTTCAGAGGAGAGCAACAATAAACATAAAAAGGTTTAGAAAACCTGACCTATGATAAAAGATTAGAGAGAGAGAGAAAGAATGCTTTGTTTTGAGAAGATTGAAGGAAACTCAGAAACAGTCTTCCAATATGTTAAGGGCTGTTATGAGAGGATGGTGACCAACTGTCCTCCATACCCATTGAAGGGAGGATAAGAAGGGCTTAATTTCCAGTAAGTGAGATTTTTTTCCGCTAATATCCAAACTGTAAGGGTCAATAAGCTCAGATATAGTCTCCCAAGGGAGACTGTGGAGTCACCATCATTGGAAACTCTTAACACCAAGTTGGACAAATACGTGCCAAAGGTGGTCTAGATCAGGATCTCTCAAAATTCATTGCACCATGACCTTTCTCACAACAAAAATTACTATGCAATTCCTGGAGGGATGAATGAAGCCAGCACCCAACAGGCTCCACTGCCCTAGGTAGAAAGGCCAAAACGTGAAACACATGGGTTTAAACCCTAGGGTTTCCATCCCAAACAGGGGCCTATAACCTGAACTTCTCCTCCCAGGACTGAAGTTTGAGGGCATCAACTTCATCCCGAGACAGGGGAGCTTGGGCTTCAGCTTTGGTCCCAGCGAGTCTAAGCCAGTCCTGGAGACTCCATTAAAACAAGTTCATGACCCCTTGAGAACTGCTAGTCTAGATTTATTTGGCCCTGTGACAGTACAAGAGGTTGGATTTGATAATCTCGCAAGGTGTAAATTCCTATGATTCTTTCCTTTCCTTGCTGAGTGTCTAATGCATGAACATTCATTTAGAAGTAAATCAGAAATTTGGAATCATCCGATCCTCTTAAATGCCTCTCTTATTTTCAGCTGGTATCTTAAATGACAAACTTACCATGACAATTTCCATTGGATAGTGGATTGAGCAACGTGTTCTGCTCACACTGAAACAAAAGCAATGAACAATATAAGTAATGGAGTTGGGGGTAAATGATAGTGTCTCATGCCTTCTTCATCAGATTCCTTATTCAGAAACAGAACTAAGAGTTCAGAAGTAAATATCAAAATTGTCTTTTTGTGACAATGTTGTGTCTCCATTGTATCTGTAGAACAAAGGAAGCAAGCAATTGCCAATTATCTCAACCTGTTTTCGAATGCAGCTCACTTTCACCTTTTGAGCCAACCACCAATGTGAATTTGAGCCAATGACCAACCAGATGTATTATTTTAATTACTCCTCCAAATATGCTAAGCAGAGCTAGTCAAAAGACAGGAACATTTTTGAACATTTTCAACATTTCAAAGTTGTTTCCATTTCACAAGGTTCAAAATAGACCTTTTTTAAAAAAAATTATCCACAATTTTTTCAATTTTAACTGAAACCATTTTCTCTAAATTCTTTATTTACCAATAATGCACTTTATTTATTCAAAAAGTTTTATATCAACAAAACTGTTGGTAATATATATATCACTGCAAATTTCACAATAGAATAATCAACCATGTTGGTAACTTCTTGAAAAAAGTTTTGATTTTTAAAAAGGCCAATTTTCTACAAAAAAAATGTGCAAAACATTTCAATTAATTCCAGTGTTAAACTCTTTCTAATACAGAGAAAGGACTAAATCCCTATACCAGGGAACTTCTAAACTAATTTCAGAAACAAATCAAATTAATTTATTTCTATGTAGGTACTAGCTGCGCTCACAATTGTTATGCAGAACCTTCCCAGGAATAAAAGAAAAAGCATAAGTTACAGTAGAACTCTCTCCCTCCGGAATAGGTATGAATGCATAAATTGAAATAGCAGGATGCCCCTGATGACACTCCCTAGAGCCACAGTTACCGTCATTTTTTTAATGTTCTATTTATTTCTCCCCAAAATACCAACAGTGCAGAAAATTAAACAGAACTATGACTTTAGGGCCTGATTCTGAACAGTTTTCCAAACCCAAATCCCCATTGATTCCAATAGAGTTGATTCTGGTTTACAGCAGTGAGAGACGAGAACTGAGAGTTCAGTTGCCAGAGCTGTTGAGCACCTGAAGCAGCCATTGAGTATAGCTGAAGAGGTAGATAATTATTCCTTTCGAAAAGGAGGCCTTTACATTTTGATCCAAAATTCACTAACGTTAATGGAAGTCATCCCATGGACTTTGGATTGGTGCATTAGGTCTCACAATGACAAATACAGAGATATTATTTCAAAAATAATAATAGGAAGGAATAAATAAATAAATTTAATCTCTTGAATCTTAGACTTGATTTTCATTCCATGGAAAACAACTAATTTATATTATAACCTAATTTGCTACAGTATAATCTAATTAAGTATTGTGAGAGCTTCAGAAGGAAGGCACAAGAGAAATGCAAGTTGGTATCATCATTGTCACAATTACTAATGCATGCAATAGAACCTACCTTGTTTATATCATCACATGGCTGGATGCTTGCGCTATCCTGGATTATCCTTAATAGATCGTGATGGAACTTCTTGGCATTCAGAAATACTAATGGGTTATTCACTGAAACTATCTTTACCTGTTGTAAAGATTCCTTTGGGATGAAATAAACAAAAGGCTTAGTTCCTCAAGATTTAAATAAAGGAAATTTCTCTACAAACCCTACATAATACCAAACAATAATCTCATGAGAAAATTCTGAATTACCATGGTGCTTTAACAGATTACAATGTGATCAGGAAACTGAGGAGGAAATAAGTAAAATTAAAAGAGCATTTTAAGGTGAAGACACAAACAAGTCAGATCATTTCCTGAGGATCACCTGAAAATTTTCTACCCAACAGATAAAATTACTGAGCTTTTAGTGCAGCTAAAGCTGAGCTACTCTGAAGCAAAGGTGAATCATCTGTGAACTGCAGAAGCCATTTCTGATCTTCGCAATATCACCCTTGACCAGAGGCATAAAGCTAAACTACTCTTGTGCTAGGCAGAATAACGCAACAAGCCAGCTCCAAGTGACCCAAAATAATATGAGCTTGTTTGTGCCTCCCAGACACATCTCTAATGGTATGATAAAGAGCTTCATTATAGGGCTGCTACTGCATGATTCTATCTAGGACTTGTGTAACCCACACACCTATTGTGGTTACTCAGCAATGCAAGTGGTACCTAGAACATAGCAACAGTTAAGACCAAGAGACTTCTACATCATGGGATGTGAGCCTGCTGACTTTTAGTTCAGAGGGTAGAGGCACCTATACTCAGCTCCAGAGCTCCCAGGTTCAAATCTGCCCAGTAGCAGTTGCACGTGCAAGAACTCTACTTTCAGGAAACAACTGATGAGAGATCACTATAGAAGTGGAGAAAGGAGTATAGCCTGCACAGTGCTCTGTCTTTATTCTCACACATAGAACATTTTGGCAGAAGTGAGTCGCCTCCTACAGATAGCCTTAGATTCTCATTTCATTTGTTTCAAAACAAACAAAGAAACAAGAGTAATCATGCAAACACCATATTTCTGTCGTGAGTTGATAGACATGAAATAGAATGTGTTTAGCAACTGTATATTTTTTTAGATCATGGGGGGGAAGTTATGAAAAAATGTCAATAGAGCTGGATAAAAAGGAGAACAAAGTAAGAGCAACCACACTATACACAGTAATTAAGAAAGTCTGCCTCATGTTTTCACAGAATTTGGACATGCCAACAGCACTGCCAGAAGGCCCTGGAAACAACCTAGAAGTGCTCCAAAAATATTTTCACCCCACGAAAAGGTATCTTTTCAACAAAGGTAACCAAGAATTTGGAGACACAACAGATCAATGTATTGCCAGACTGTACAAAATGGCTGACTTGTGCAATTACTAAATCTTGAAAGATTTAACTTGTGCTAGGTTAGTAATTGGAACAATAGATGCAGGAACTGGAAGGAGGATGCTCAGAGAGCCTACTCCAAAACTCTAGCAAGAGACACAGCTGTGAAAAGCTAGTGGATAAACTTCCAGGAAATTGCAGAGGTAAGCAGAGCTAACACAAATCCACCAAGTAGCAGAGGGAAAGCATGAAACTACAATGAAAATACACAGCACATTCCCAGTAAACCTTGGAGCAAATAGCAATGGACCTCTTCACTGCAAACCACACAAACTCTCTAGTTCCTGTAGACTACTTTTCAGACCTCTGGGAATGAGTCAAATTGTCAGACACTACTGCAGCAAACAGCGTCACAGACTAAGCCTTGAAGCATTTCACATTTCAGCAGGCATGGTATTCCAAATTGTGTTGTTTCAGACAACTAGTTCACTTTACTTGCAGAGTGTTTGTGCAATTTACCCAGGAATGGGAATTCAGTCATATTATTTCAGTCATATCACTTCATTACCAGACCAGAGCCAACTGAACAGCCAACCTGAAAGATCATTTAAAAATACTAACACATCAGTAAAGAAAGCTTCAGAAAGCAAAAAACAGGGAAAGGCATTCTTGAATGGAGAAACACTCCCACAGGTGGCTTTAATAGTAGCCCAGTACAATGCTTGATGTTCAAACACTTAACCTGGTTCCTATCCTGGCTGCAGAAGTAATATACAAAGTGGAAGAGAGGCCTGCAAAAGCCAAAACCTACTGTGACTGAGAAGCTAATGCCCTGTATTTCTTGTGCAGCAATAAGTTACAGGGCTGCTACTAGAAGATCAGGCCTCTGTTTCAGATATGCCAACTACAGAGCTTCTTTCTCAGAGAGACACCAAAGATGAGCTTCCAAAAGATCCTTTCATGTTTTCCCAGGGGAGGTTGAGCTTAGCTTAAATAAGGAGAGGTTACTTACCTTACAGGAAAGTTCTTCAAGATGTTTTGCCCCATGGGTGCTCCACCACAGAACGTGCAAGTGCCCAGGCGCTTTTGGCCAGACACAGCAAACAGGGCATAATAGGGAGGCACAGGCCTACTGCCAGTCAGTTCTTTCTGGACTACAAAGCCTAACAGTTCAGAAGGAGGTGAAACACCAAGGGAAAAAACAGCTTGAAGGACTAAAGTTACTATAACATCTTCTGCTTCATCCTTATGAGTGCCCTATCATAGGAGACTCCCAAGTAGTAACTCAGTGAGGAAGAGGGTGTAGAGGAGTAATTCCTGGTCAGTTTGAAAGACTGTATCACCAAAGGCAGTATCACCTCTGGAAGCAGGTAAGATGTCATAGTGTTCAGCAAAGGTAGGGATAGAAAAATCAACAACTTTCTGCTATGGGAATATCTTTCAGAAGGGCTATAGATGGTACTCTAGTAGAATTTACTGTCACTCCAGGAGGGACATTCTCTCGCCTGCATTCTCATAACAGGTCCAGATGCAACCTGATACCCCCTTAGACTGTTAGTCTGGAAATTAGGTGGCCATTCATCCGAGCAACACAAACAATCTAAGAGAGATGTGGAGTGGATTAGTCCTGTTCAGATACATGGCAAAAGCCTTCCTGAAATCCAAAGAATGAAGGCTTGATACTTCTCTGGAGGCAAGAGTTTTTTGGGTAGAAAACTAGTAGCTCAATTTCCTGATTAAAGAGATTTTGGGGAGCAAATGAAGATGGTGCATAATATAACCATGTTGTTATATAAGGTGGGTGTATGGTAGGTCTGTTATGCTTGAAAGCTACTGAGGAACCATGCTCTCAGATTCAGGAAGGAGGAGTTTGGATGAACAACAGTCCTGGACTCTGTCATAGGACTTCTGAGAGAAGATGAAGAGAAGAGAACCTCTGAGTAGTCGACGAGGTTTGAGTATCAAACCTGCCTCAGCCAAGCAAAGTTACGATAACTCTTACTCCTTCTCAATGCACCTTGAGAAAGTGGACTGTGCAGTGTGTGAAGAAATACTTCCTTTTGTTTGTTTTAAAACTGCTGTCCGTTAATTTCATTTGGTGAGCTCTAGTGCTTATGTTAAAGGAAAGAGTAAATAATTTTTCCTTGTGTACTTTCTTCACATCAGTCATGAATTTTTAGACCTTTATCATAACTCCCCTTGGTCTCTTTTCCAAGCTGTCCCAGTCTTATTCATCTCTCCACATACTGCAGCCATTACATACCCCTAATCATTTTTGTTGCCCTTTTCTGAACCTTTTCCAATTCCAATATATGATTTTTTAAATGAGGTGACCACATTTGCATGCAGTATTCATACCAAACCATAGATTTAAAGAGAGACAATAAGATATTTTCTTCTTGTTATATATCACTTTCTTAATAATTCCCAACATTTTGTTTGCCTTTTGATTGCCATTGCACATGGAGTAGATGCTTTCAAATAGCTATCTACAATTACTCCAAGATCTCTCTCTCGAGTGGTAATAGCTAATTTAGACCTAATTAGTTTATTGCTACCAGTGTTGACGTGTAGGTCAGAAGAGCAAGGCATGGGTCTTCCTGCCATAGGATTATCTTGGATGTCTCTACAATTCTCTCAGCCTCTGCATTCACTTTTCGGTAATGTGGATTGCTAGCAATATGATCAAAATCATATTTCATTTGGAATTACTTAAATTCTGCTGCAGTGAATTGTGTACTGATTTCCATCACTAGCTGTTCAGGAATACCAAAACGAGCAAAAATGTATGTCAGTTTCTCAATAACACTTCAACATGCCATGTCTTTTAAGGACACTACTTTCATATACCAGGAAAGTGAGTTCACTATGACCAAGAAAGGATGTCTTCTCTGTTAGTTTTGCAATGTTCACATGCAAATACCTTATTCTTTATGCCCTCGCTGATGCTCAACCTTCACACTAATGGGGTCCCATCATGAAATTTAGTTAATCCTTGATATTGTTCGTGGATGAGTTTAAGGATTTCTCTTCTGATTTCATTTGGAATTACAATTCAATCACTTTTAATCATGAGACCACTGGACTCATATAATTGTCCACATACTCCAAAGCAGTCTCTTACCATTTCTGTAGTGTACCTGACCTGATCTAAAGAAGAGCTCTGTGTAATCTAAAAAGTTTCTCTCTCTCTTACCAACAGAAGTTGGTCCAATTAAAAGATATTACCTTACCCACAATATCTCCATAGTGTCCCTTAAACACTTGCGCTACGTCTAGACTGCCCCCTCTTGTGCAAAAAATAGGCAAATGAGGCAAAGCAGGGAATCCCGCCACACCTCATTTGCATAATTAATGAGGCTCCATTTTTGCGCAAGAGCCATCCTGCCACTTATTTTCAGGCAGAACGGCTCTTGCGCAAAAACAGAGCCTAATTAATTATGCAAATGAGCAGGGCTCGACAAATCATTGAATCTACTCACCCATGGAGAGTAGATTTTAGCCGGTCACCACGTTCACCGGCGGCGTGCGCATGCACAATGCGGGTCTTGCACATGCGCAGTGCGGGGCTGGCGAGCAGATTTCGCCACCATTTGTCAAGCCCTGCAAGAGGCACGGCGATATTCCACACTTTGCCTCATTTTCACTTATTTTGTGCAAGAAGGGGCAGTCTAGATGTCACTTTGGATTGGCCAGCCCAGATGTAACCGATCTAATTTTTTTTTTTTAGGTTTTTCAAGTTTCTCCTGATTTTTGTTCTGCTGTTTGATTAGTTCTGACAGTTTTGTTATCTGCATAGCTGTGTCTAAGGACTAGGTCTGTCTTCAACTTTAGCGGCTGTGAAAAAGTCTTGTCGGTGAATATAATAATCAAATTGTTTCTGCTTTTTTATGTTTTGCAGACCCAAAATTAGAATTTTTAGTCAACACGTGGAGCACTCTTATAAAACATTCAGCCCCTTCCTTTCTGAATTATCTGCTGAAAACATGCTCTTTCATAAGCCACTCTTCTCTAAGCTTTAAAGTATGCAAACATAGTTAAAACTTCTCACAATCATCTTTATGATAGTCTTAGTAAAGATAAAAGGTCTAAAGATTTGTTCTGCCTGCTTCTCAGTATAAATGAAAAACCATATCTCAGTGTCTTTAGTTTTCTTGTGGAGCCTGTTTGCAACGGAAAATCTTGCAAAATGTTGTTTCCATTTGACAATTCTGTACATTTAGCAAAATTGAAGTTTTCTTAGGCATTGAAGAGAGGTATGTTAAGATTGCTCCTGAAAGTTTTTCTTCCTTCTGAAGAAATCTTTGTTGCTGCTTTACTTCTGTTTCTGTTCTCTTCAGTACTAATTTACTCATGATACCATGCCATGTATTTCTTGTACTCACTAGGTTGCTGGGCTGCTACTAGCATGTCAGGTTTCTATATCAGATAAGAACTGACTACAGAACATCCCTCTCAGAGAGATACACCAGTGATGTTTCTTTATAAGAGACTTTAATTAATGCTTTCCCCAGGATGGCTGAGGTTAGTTTAAATAAGGTGTACTACACACAGCACCATCTAGTGGCCCAATACTATAATACACCTTAGCCTTTCACTACAGCTGAAATCCCTCCCAGTCCAAGAACTACCAACCAGGTGAACCCATCAAGATTAAACTTTTCCTCAGAGTGTGGTTGAGGGGAACTGAGACACATTCAGATCTGGTTTAGTTCTAGCTGCATTCTGGAGGCACTTCAAAATATGATCTTTATCATTCTGAGAAAAACTGAGCTCCTTTACTATGTACTCTTCCCAAGAAGGAAAGAAGACTATTTGAAGCAGCCTTTTCATTACATTCCTGAGGACATCCACAGCTGTGGTGTGTATTAATCCACATCCCCTACATTTTGGCAAGAGTTTGATCTTAATAGCACCTATGATGTGACACGCTTCACAAAGTAGCATTCTCTCAATCTTTTCTGTACTGAAGTGTCTATTCACTTATTGCCAGGATAACCCCTATGAATTCACAGCGCCTTGATAGCTTGACAGATTATTACATTTGCATATATTCATGTTTAGGTATCCTTTTCATCTCAAAGTTGTCATTTTGAAGGGGAGCCTGGAAAACTCCAGCATTCAACACATTTAAAAACTCACTGTAAACAACTGCAACCCAGCAGTTCTAAATTAAGTTAAAAGGCATGTCCCAAGGCAGTTTACTTAATCTTGAAAATGTTCTTCCTCTTTGTTTTCTATAATAAACTCTTGAGAAATATGCTTCCTTACTAAAGTTTTATTCCTTCCACCATGTATGTATGCTAGTTTGTTATTGTATGTTCTCAGGCATTGATCTTTCTTGCTGATTTAGGAAAAGAGAGAGCTAAAGCAGGAACTTGGAGAAGAGAGATAAGGATTTTTTTAAAATATTTGGCAAGAGATGGATCCAATTTTGGGTCATATAACTAACAAACTTCATTTAACTTTTCTTAATGTTGAAATTTGATCTAATAATCAGCAACTGGGATAGTCCTCAAAACATTGTTTTTCATTAGTGTTTTAGAATTCTCCCCCTCTCTCCATTGTTTTCGGTCTTGTCACTCAAAATGTCTCAGTGTGCCAAACAGTAAATTCTCTTGGGCAAACTCTCAACTTTTGAGTCCAAGATTCAAGACGTAATGCAGATGTCAAAAAAGAATGATTTGCATGGGAGAGGTTCACAAATGAGGTAATAACTGGCAAGCATGTTGCTAACCACACTATTAAGAAGACTGGATGGACAGATACGTGAAATATCATGTGGATGCAGAAGGAAAGGCTTCACTGAGATGCAGAAAGGTTTATTAGATAGCGCATTAGACTAGGAATCAGGAGAGCTGGGTTCTGTTTCTCACACATTCACTGTTTTGCTGTCCAATTGTGGGTAAGTCACTGATCCCATAGGTAGGGCCCTATGAAATTCACAATCCATTTTGGTCATTTTCATGGTCATAGGATTTTTTAAAATTGTAAACTTTATGGTTTCAGGCATTTAAAGCTGAAATTTAATTGTGTTGTAGGACAGTTGGGGCATGGGTCACAAGATTATTGTAGGGGGCTGGGTCTATTGCTACCCTTACTTCTGTGTTGCTGAAGGTAGTGGTGTTACCTTCAGAGCTGGGTAGCTGGAGAGCAGCAGTTGCTGGCTGGGGGAAGCTCAGCTCTGAAGATAGAGCCACTGCCACCAGCAGCACAGAAAAACGGCATTTTATGACAATGCCACCCTTACTTGTATGCGGTTGCTGAAGGGACACTGCCTTCAGAGCTGGAACAATAGCTGGTCTCTGGCTGCCTACCTCTTAAGGCAACACAGAAATTAGGGTGGCAATACTGCAACCCTCCTGTAACTCCCTTTTGGGTCAGAATCCCCAATTTGAGAAATGCTAGTCTCCCCTGTGAAATGTGTATAGTGTAGGGTAAACGCACACAAAAGACCAGATGCCACAGTCCATGATGAGTTTTTCATGGTTGTGAATTTGGTAGGGCCCTACTGATACGTGCTGAAACTGGGAATGCAAGGGATGCTGCTGCACCATCTGGCTTGAAGTGGTCTCCCTTATGGCTTCAGGCATTTAAAGCTGAAATTTCATTGTGTCGTAGGACGGTTGGGGCAGGGGTCACAAGATTATTGTAGGGGGCTGGGTCTATTGCTACCCTTACTTCTATGTTGCTGAAGATGGCAGTGTTGCCTTCAGAGCTGGGCAGCTGGAGAGCAGCAGTTGCTGGCTGGGGGAAGCTTAGCTGTACTTTTTTATACAGGCTTTATTGTTTGGTTCAATTGCTCTAGGCATGAACACTATACAAATTGCTCCAGCACCCTTGATTAAATCTCTCTTTCTCCTCTACCTTTTAACCTGTCTTTTTGACTGATCGGAGCAGGGGATTTCTGATTATGCATGTGTAGAGTGTCTGACACAATGGGCGCTGATGTCACCTGGTAATACCAAGTAATCATAACTTTAAAGGAAATAAGCAAAATGAATTGCAATATGTGATTGGGATTGTAAAATACAGATGAAAATGCAAGTTCAGAAACAAGTCCCTTAAGGTAGGATCATCTCATCTGCTTCTCAAGGGGATCCTGACCATGGTGATCCTGGCTGAAAGGTCTTAAAGGGATCTATGCCATCTCCAAGTTGCCTGCCTCGTTTTCCCCACCACGTGTGGGTGCACTATGAGAAGTCAGGTTCTGGATGAGCTGAGGGGACAGAAGAATGGCTGGGAAGGGTGTCAAAGACTGGTAGAGAAATAAGGAAATCATGTGGAAGGAATGACATGGGTTGTATCTATTTGGAAACCAATGGGACTCAAGACAGCTTCTTCCATGAGAGGCAAAGTCCAACAAAAGCATGAAGATGAACATCCATAAATTGAAATTCACTGAATTTTATGTCCATGAAACCAAAGACAACACAACTGTTGACTATAACCCTTAATTTTTATATAACCTTTATATTGTGCATACACAACTGAAAAAAAAACATAAAAGACCCAAAGCACAACATTCCTATGCCCTGTATTTCCCTTGATCCTAGAATAGTCATGTAATTGTAATTTTTGAGTGTACTTAGTCTTATAACAATCTATGGGAGATGAAAAGCTGAAGATTAATAAGGGATAGAGGAGCAGAGGAAGGTACACTTACACAATCACCTTCTGTTTTGAATTTACATTCCACTTCTTTGATACTTTTCATACTCACTGTCCTTGCTCTGTAATTAATACATGGAGAAAAGATGTGAAGCAGATCATCAGTAATGTTGACTATGGGTAAGTAGAGATACAACTCTAAACTATTGCAAGACAGGCAGTTACTGAGAAAATATATCCTTTAAGTGTACAAATGCTAGACAGCTAAATAGGCTTAGGTTGATTATGTAGCCTCTTTAAATTCTGAAAAGTTGTTGTCGTATGTTACTTTCAGAATTCTGTAGCTTTATTTTTCAATTTAAAGTATGAAAAATGGGACTCTTTTGTAAAGTAATATTAACCTTTAATTATGTTAATGCTACTCCTGTTACAACTCTGATACTATATTCATAGGCGTTGACTTCTTGAGTGCTCCAGGGAGGGACTATCCATGGAAAAATATTGTGGGGGCTCAGCACTCCCTGACAGACTTTTCCTCTCCCTCCCCACAGTGTCCTTCTGCCCACTGTGAATCAGCTTTTAAGCATGAGGCACATTGGGGAGTGGGAGGAAAGGGAGCAGGATGAGACAGGGGAGAGGGCAGAATAGGGCAGGGAGGGGCAGAGCAGGGGTGGGGCAATGCATCAGGAGGGTGCCCCAGCTGCCGGGAAGTAGAAAGGGTGGGGGAGCAAGGAGCAGATGGGATGGGAACAGCAGCTTCCAGTGCTCAGGCACTGCTCTGCAGTGTGGTGGGCTGGCGGCTGCCTGAGAGAGCCTAACTGAGGAAGTGGCCCCCTCCCACCAAACAGAGCTGTGGAATGCACCAGAGGGGTAGGTGCCATGGGAAGACAGAGCACCTACCCCCACAAGCAACAGGAGGCAGGAAGAGTGCAGTGGCCCTGGGCTGGGCATGGGGGGAGTTAGTGAGGCGATGGGACACACGACTTCCTCTTTAAACTGAGACACCCTAGTAAGAGGAGGCACCAGTTAATCTTCAGGGAAGGGGGCGGGGAGATGTGGAGCGGGGGCCAAAAGAGGCATGGTGGGGGCACAGCTTTGGGGGAAGTGGAGGAGTGGGGTCAGGGACTGGGACAGAATGCGGGCAGGACATCCACCCCCTGGCAAATCACAAACTCAGCACTTGCAAATGTATTTATTATTTGTATCATTGTATCACCCAAAGACCTCAATCAGAATTTGGGATTTTTTTTGTACTGGTCACTGTACAAACACAGAGTGAGACACTTTCCCTGACCTATACCTGTAACCTATGCCTACACTGTATGCTAGGGGCTTGTTTCCCAGCTCCTGTACACATATTCACTGTAGCCCTCATCTAGTTTCAGACACATCTGTGCTCAGTACAGCCCAGCTGTGTCTCTGCTGCTGCTACCCATACTCATGCTCGCTCATTAAGAGCTAGCACAAGCATGTGTACACAAAGAGCTCACCATTCTAACTCATATGGTAGACAGAGCCCTCAGTAGAGTTACGTAATATGTGGCCCACTTCTTGAAAAGAAAAAGGAATGACTTACTGCTCAGCACTGGACTTAGTTACTCTACATTTGCCTGCAAAATATGAACACGAGGAAAGAGAAAAAAATATTGGCCTGGAAAATTAAAGTTTCTACAGAGATGTGGGTTTTAAAAGTTCATTATATTCTGAATGGCTTTTGCTTGCTATCTGCAAAACTGTTTTTGTCATACCTTTGTGAGACAAAATACAAACATTTCAATAGTGATCTCAATCCATGGAAACCAGGAGAAATCAGAGGGGAGACTGGATAAGACTTGGAAATGTCAATTGCCCTGTTCTGTGTGGCTCTTTTAACACTTTGCTGTATTTAACTTATTTTGATATACAAAACCATGTTCCCTCTATGCTGCTGAGTTCTGTATTAACATTTCAGGATCTTATGCCTTTCATCATCCTTATTACAAGATAACCACATGAGACTCGATTCAAAATCAGCTGAATGACACCATTTATTTCTATTAGTATTGGTTCAGATATGTGGTCAATCTTTGGACCAAATGCTCAGGATTCTTTTCATAACTACAATTTTTTATTAGTTATAAAAATGAGATTTCATTATTTAACACAGTGAATTGCACACCTATACTTAGTGTGGAGCAACACATGTCACATTGATTTGTTTCTAGAACATTTTAAGAACAAATGATGTCTCACCTTTGGAAGCGAAAAATCACTATAACTATAGTGCAGACAACTCCATATAATAGTCCCACGTTAGCAGCAAAGCATACTGTAAATACATAGGTACTAACCCATATGCTCTTCAAGGAAGGAAACAAAAGACACAATTAGTTTAAGCTGTCCACAGAACTATAAAACTGAATAAATATGTTTAAAGTGCAAGCAGAGGTTCCCAGCAAGAGGCTTATATTAGAATGATAACTAGAGATAGTAGTCAGGAATCTATGAACTGGCAAATGACGAATACTGAATTATCCATGAAAATTGTACCTTTCCCTCAGAAATAGTATGTGATCTGACACGAACAAGTTTAGTGATCATGGAAATCCACTTCTGAAGCTCTTACAATGACACATATTGCTGAAATGAACTGAATGGGCTGCTATATTCAACACCCTAGTGACATAAAAAACTGAGTATCGGGGGGCACTTACGGCACTCTCTATTAGCCTCGTTTAGCATGGACACTCTAATTGACAAGAGTTTTTTCCCCCCCTTTTTCCCTTCCCATTCCCTATTTTTCTTTATTTGTACCTATGGACCCCTTGCTGCACTCAGCTGAAGAAGTGTGTTGTGCCCACAAAAGCTCATGACACTATCTACATTTTGTGTTAGTCTCTAAAGTGCTGCAGGACTATTCATTGGTTTTTTTGTTTGTTTTTACAGTAGCAATGTTATTCAGGCTGAATTCAACTTAGTGAAGGCTCAATAAATTTCATTTTCCAAGTTGGCAAGTTAGTGACCACTTGTCCACTGCAAACATTTAAAAAACTGGTCTCCTTTATGCAATGCCAGATGCAGTACAAACCAGGGAATGTATTTCATAGTGTAGTAGGAAAGAAAATATAAGCAAACACTTTTCCAACTCTATAACTGCTCTAACAATCAGCAAAATGCATAAACATGATTGCTCCTAATAATTAAAGGTAATTTGTAACTTTTGACAAAGTTTACTCATTAAGAGCAAGAGATTGATCACATTACTTATTGTCATGTTACCAGATTTTAAGGGGAACAGCCAGATCACTGCTGCACCCATGCGGAGGGTTGCCCCAAAAGTTGGTGCAAAGGGGGCTGTGCAAGGTGTCAAATGAAAGCTTATCTTATACTGATTCTATATATGCTATTCATGTAATTGTATAATGTCTGTGTGTGAAGTTATAAGCATGTATTCTGTGTGGATACTGAATATTTCTCCGTATGTGGTTGAGCAGTGGGCGAAGAAGCTCAGCCTATGGACATGCTAATGAGCAAGTCTCCATGAAACAATAGCTCTCTATAGGGTAAGGACACACCTCAAGAATGGTGACAGGGAACACAGGGATAGGCCACTGGCCAGGTGACCTGCTGCAGCCAAAAAGAGACGAGGAAGGAGGTATATAGGGGCCATGTGGCATCCTCCATTTTGGGCTCAGCTCAGCATCCCAGATGCAGGATTGCAGGGATCAACGAGCTGGAAAGAGCTGTGGACCCATCCTGACTTAGGATGTACACCAAGGACTTTTAAGCCAGCAGTTATAACACCTCTGCTGCTAGCCTGCATTGAGAACTGGGAGATTCAATGCATGTAACATATGATACTTTAATAACCTTACTCTCATGCTTTTCTTTCTTTTAGTAATAAACCTTTAGATTTTAGATTCTAAAGGATTGGCTCAGCATGATTTGTAGGTAAGATCCAGAGTGTAAATTGACCTGGGATCTGTGGCTGGTGTCTTGGAACTGGACAGAACTTGTTCAGGGAAAGTGAAATTGGGTTCTAAAACCCCGCACCTGTGTCTGAGACCCGGGGCCATCTGGGGCCTGGATATTGCTGGGGTGTCAGAGAGGTTTTGCTCATGAGGCTTCTGACTGGCTAGGCAGGCAGCTGAAGCGCTCTGTGGGACTGGTTTGTGGCCTATTTGGGAAGGTCTCCAGTCTGGGGGCTATAGAGAGCCCCGAATATGAGCAACTCGCCCTGAGCAGACGCCCTCAGCTGTGCCCAGACCCGGCCTGGTCCGTCACACTTAGTAAAGGCCAAATTTTTCAGCCAGGCCTTTCAATAACCTCCAATTAAGCACAAACATACTGAAGATTCACAGGTATAAACATACTTTAAAAAAATCCTACATTGGTACTAAGTACATAAGAACAGCCATATTGGGTCAGACCAAAGGTCCATCTGGCACAATATTCTGTCTTCCAACAGTACCCAATGCCAGGTGCCCCAGAGGGAATAGACAGAAAAGGCAATCAACAAGTGATCCCTCCCCATCACCCATTTTCAGCCTCTGAAAACAGAGGGTAGGGACACCATTCCTACACATCCTAGGTAATAAGCATTAGTGAATTTATCTAGCTCTTTTTTGAACCCTGTTAAAGTTCTGGTCTTCACAACATCCTCTGGCAAGGAGTTCCAGAGGTTGACTGTGCATTGTGTGAAGAAATACTTCCTTTTGTTGGTTTTAAACCTGCTACCTATTAATTTCATTTGATGATCCCTAACTCTTATGTTATGGGAGCAAGTAAATCACTTTTCCTAATTCACTTTCTCCATACCAATCATTTTGTAGACCTCTATCTTATCCCTCCTTAGTCTCCTCTTTTCTATGCTGAAAATTCCCAGTCTTTTTAATCTGCAGGGAATAAGAAGGTTTCTTTAAGCCCAAGAGTTAACAGGGATTAGAAAAGATAGCCTGTGGAGAAGGACAAACTCCAGGCAAGAAGTGCCAAGAGAACAGGAAGGCAGATCCCCAGCGTGGAAGAACTGTGATAACTTTTGGACTGGGATGAAATAAACTTTAAAAAGAGGACTGATATGCAGGGAGGAGGGTAGGAGAAAGTGCTGGGCAGTAACAGCGGAGCCAGCAGGCTCGTTATGGAGCTCCAATTAAACACTACAGAACAGACCTTGTTAAGAAGAACTGAAGTCTACCTAATTGTGGGGTGAAGGAGAACTGGAAGGCTAATTATGCCATTAGGGAGGAAGTCAAGAGGGAGAGAGAGATTGATCTTCCTTGCTTGCCTCCGGGAATGAAGGCTTCCTACATCTGTGAGAAAGGTACACAAGGGTGGTGGGAATCAACACTGTAAATAAACTGCACCTAGTGTTTTATCAGCACAATGGTCCCTGAAAGGTTTGTGGCCTTGAGCAGAGGCAGGAACAAGTGGACCTGCCACACATGGGATCTTAGCCAGCACAAGGGTTTGGAAGCTCAGACAATAAAGGAGACCCTGTAATCGTGGGTAAAGCAGTAAGAAGAAATTCAGAAGACCCTGTAGAATTTCAAACTATCCCACCAACCTGGTTTTGCTTACCTGGCAGACAGTCAGAGCAACAGAAAGCCCTGAAAGATTTCATAAAGAAATGAGCCAACATCGGTTCCTATGGAAGGCAGTGGGCCCTGTGGTGAGGGATGGCACCTGGACAGGGGTCTAGGACTACATAAGATCAGCTCTGCAGAGGACCCTGATGCATTCCTGGGCACTGGAGATTGGATAGCTATGGGTGCAAGTTGGCATAGGGCAACCTGGGCCTCAAGGCTAGCTCCCTAGCTGTCAGGGAAAGCCCAAATGGCCTATATGGCTCTGAATGAGGAGCAGGCAAGGAATTATTAGGTGATGAGCACAGCCATTCTGGATCAGGTAGGTCTGTCCACTGAAAAGTACTGCCAAGAGTTCTGATCCACAAGGTAGAGTGGAGGTTTACAGCCACATTCACCCAAGATTTGATGGACTGGGCTACCCACTGGTTTAGATCAGACACCCAAACAGTGCGAGGTGGAAATAATGCATTATCTAGTGCCAGGACAGTTCCTTAAAGGCCTCCCCAGGAACTTATGGATCAGGCAGCATCAACCAGGTATGGCAGATATGGCTGTGAAACTGACTGAGTTACAGAGGCAGACTTTCTCAGGAAAGGGGGATGACCATAGAAGGATCTAGAGCTTGGGAGGAAGACTGTAGAACTCACAGCAGGAAGGGGCCTAGAAGGGAAGGAGGAAGAGCCCCAAGGAGTTCTGATACATGCTATTAGCAAGGCCAATAGGGACACACAATAAGGTACTGCCTGTACATGGATTGTGGTTTTGCTGAGTGAAGGAAGAAATTCCAGAGGAGCCTTGTGAATATGGCCTCAGCTTTCTCCCTTGTTCAAAGGGGAGCTGATAAAGCCTCACTGGATGATTTGGTAGCAGGTATTCCCATGTACACATTCTGTATTTATAAGACACTGCCCTATGGCTCAGATACCCCGGGAGATCTTGGAGAGATTTTGTTGGAAGTCAGCAATTGAGGGTGGGGGAGAATAGGAATTAAGGAAGACCCAACTCCTTAGCAGAGGTCTTAGTAGAAGACTGATGGAGTCCCCTGCAATACCATGCCAAGGAGAAGAAACCCAGGCACAGTTTGGAGGGTTGGGAGAACCCGAGCTTCTGAGTGGTCAGAGGGATAAAGGACACAACCTTGATCCTTTGCCAGATACAAAGGTGGAAAATAAGAAGAGCAATCTCCAGGGGGCCCACGGTGTGAGGACTTGTGGGCTCAGATGGAGCCAAAGGGGTCTCCTCCTCCCAAAAAAGTATGATTTCTGTGAGTGGAGAATGAGTTGACCCCATGAGGGTGACCAGATGATCAACTTAGGAACAGGGAGAGAAATTGTTAAGAAGAGCTGTGACCAACTGTGGTGGAGGTCAGCTGGAAGGCTAATTAAGTTACTAGGCAGAGGATACAAAAAGGAATGCAGGAGAGGAGGAGGAGACAGAGACTGTTCTTGCTTGCCTCAGAAGGAGAATGTTACTCATCCTGTGGAGCAACAGGTTCTTCAAGATGCGTGTCCCTGTGGCTGCTCCACCTGTAAGAGTGGCAGTGCCCCCAGAACCTGCAATCAGAGACCTTCAAAAGCTGCGCCCATTGGACCATTCATGCGCATTTCCTCCTCTCATGTTCTGCACTGGACATAGATCTAGTGCAGTGTAATCCGACCACTCCCAGTTCCCTCTCTGCCACAAAGCATGTGTTTTTGGCTCCAAAGAAGAGAGGAGGAGGGTGGGTACTGGGGTATCCATAGAAACATACATCTCAAAGAACTGAAGGCTCCCCA